CAGGCACAGCCCGATCGACCGACCCTACCCCCAAATGCGCCTTGTTCCCCTAGCAACCCCCTCCTGCCATTCCCTGCCATCCCCCTCTGCCACGCCAGCAGCCGCAGTCCGTTCCAAATATTTTTATATAAAAAATCGCATTTTTTTCCCTCTCGCGCATAATAAAACTTTTTCTGCATGCTTTTTATTTCCTTGCGAGATGCCGGGGTTGCTGCCGATGAGGCCAGGCCGGGCAAGGGGTAGGGCGGCAGACAGCAGCGCACTTGGCCGCCGCACAAAGGAAGATCACGACGCAAGGACTTGTCTGCATTCAAATGAATGTAGGTAGGGCCAGAGGCAGAGGTACTCGCACTCGTAGTCGTCCTCGTCCTCGAAAGTACCTGAACCTCGCTCCTCGCCAAGGATGGACAATGTCCAGGGCTCGAAACTTATTGAGCTCTGCGGATATTTTCGGTTTCTTCTTCGTATTTTCTTCGGCTTTTTTCGCTCTGCCTTTGGCACAGCTTTTTATTGCCGAGTTGCTCCTGCTGTACTCTTGGAATCAGTGAGTTGCTTTACAAAGTCCCAGGGGTTAAGTCAATCTCATATGGGGAATTCTAAATACAAAAGCTATTTAAAATAAATACCGCAGTCTTTTAAAGATATTTAATTATGTGTCAAGCTGCTTTTAAATGTTGTAAGAATAGTAGTAGTCAGAATAATTAAAAATGTATCTTATTAGTTAATTAAAGCATATACATATAATCAACCATTCAACTGTAAAAACTTAAAAATTCAATTTATAATTAAACTTATAACTGTAAAATTCCTATTAAGAATTTGATGAAATGTTTATTTTTGGGATTTTCCTTTTTTTAATTTGCACCATACAGTTAAAAAATTTCTAATATCAAATTTTGTGACGGTAAATAGTTATATTAACAGTAGATTTTTAATTCTACGTCTCCCTTTTAACCACACTCCCGGTTCTCAAGGTCACTACGTGGACTACATTCCATAGTAATAATATAATATTATATAAAAATATCAGCGTTTTTACAGTTTTCTTTTAATAAAATCCGTAAAAAGTTAAATATTTTTGCTATATATGGTATATAAAACGAGCTTTTTTCTGAAAATTCTTCTAAAAGACTCGCTAACCGTAAATACATATAGTCGAGCCTAGAGCTGCTCAGGTTCTAGTCACCGTTGCGAAACTTTGTTTACCCAAAATCTTAAATGCCAACAGAGAATCAGGGACAGGAAGTGGATGACCAGCCACAGCGAGGACATTGCAGGAGGATGGCAAAGAGAAAAAAAAGGGGAAAAAAAACGAGCCGTGAAAGAAGGAAACTCAATGCGACATTTGCATTTTTAATGCAGACCCACATATAAAACGTAGTTTTTTATGAGTTGATTTTGATTTGCGTACTTCTTTTTATTTATTTTTTTTCTTTGCTTTCGGCCAGCGACTGGGACTGGTTCGTATCGTCTAATTTTTTTGCGCTCGCCGCTTCCTTTTTTTTCAGCGCTGCGAGAGGCGGTCGCTTGACCATCGTCTCCTCCTTTGGCCATTGTTTGTGCCACGGTGTCACCTTCGAGCGGCCAGCAGGACGAGGATCAGGAGTGGCAGGGATGAGGGATGAGGAAGCAATAGCCAGAGAGCTGACCACGCAGACAAGACAAAAAGCTAAGCAGAAAAGCACACAACAGGAGGAGCGCAGTATCCTTTTGTGATATATGAGTAAGTTGTACCTGAAGGATATGCGCTGAGCCGTTGAGCACACACAAACTGGAGGCAAGCTGCACTGGCACACCACTATCACTTTTATACGGCGGCTCTGGCTCGGAGTTTATCATTCGATATCGAGCACAGCGTGATTACGGCTGGGTATAAGTGCGAGTGTGAGTACGAGTATGATGACCGCACCCGTGGCCTGGACACCCTGAAATCCAGCGAGAGAGCGAGCGAGCACCCCTCGCTGATCTGCTCGGGTCGAGGTCTTTGTTTTTATGGCCATGGCTGGTGGGAAAATTTATCTAAATTGTCGATGGCGTTCTTTTTTTTTTGCATTTGATTCTTTTGCAAAAGGATTTCTCTTTCTTGCGTTTTTTTGTCATATTGTGGAATGTTTTGTCGTCACTTTTGGAATGAAGCGGCCACAGGGAAAAAAGCGGAATGATGCGCCAGCAAATGGCCAAAGTCCATAAATTAAGCCCGCGGCAGGGACAGAAGGGTGGCGCATCTGACAGCGGCCAGGATCGATGCAAGGAAGTAGAACAAAAAGCTGGCAATTGGATGAAGGTGTTAAAATATAATGCGCCCTTGTTCCGCGTCCAACCAAGGACCCTCCGCTTCACTACGAAGCTATTGCCATGCCAACGGTCTACGTCTACGTGCGCGAATAAAAACACCGAACGGGGAGAGGACTTTCTGAACATTTTTCCAATTAGCTGTCAAAAGAAAAGCGGCGACCACTTGACGTTGCCTGACGGCGGGAAAATCAACAAACTGCGGAAAATCGCTGAAGGTTGCCTGGCAATTATTTTTAACGAACGCGACAAGTGGGCGGCGGTAAGAGGTCCTGGGTCAATGTTCGTAGCCACACGCAACGCGCATACGCCCCGTGTACCGGCAACGGAGGAGGATTCTTCACCTTTCTGGGTCAGTGCGATCCCAGGCCACTGGATCGCGGGCAAGATTAAGATCCATTGAAAGTAAAACAAGGCCCAGCTGACGCCGCATAAATCTGAGCAGCATCCATTGCACAGCAATTGCAACTGCGATCGCCGACGCAGCTGCAACTGCTTGACTTCCACGCAATCAACGCATTAAATCAATTTTAACTTGGCCTACTTTTGCCATTCGGCGTCGTCGCATGGGGCGAGTTCTTCTCACCGCTTTTTTCCCTCTTTTCCCTAAAACAAAGGCGCAACTGGCGACCCTTGCAACGAGCCTTGCAGTGCAATGCAACAGCCGTTAGCAACTGCAGCTTGCACATGGCGCGGCCTGGGAAACCAGGGAAGGCAAGATGCGGGCCAGGATCGCGGGTGGGCGAGGGGGAGCTCTCGCGATGGAGGAGGGATGGTGGCCCATTGAAATGCAATCTGCGCACACATGGCGACGACAACAGCGCTTTTAGTTGGGCTGCTTGTGTTTACGGATATTTTCAGCGTGGTTAAAGTGCAAGTCGCGCGCTTTTTGTCGCCGCCAAATGAATGCGAAATGTTTCACCTACATTTCCCGGTCGTGTGGGAGAGGGGGCCTTTTAGAAAGCGCCTACACGGTTAAGTAAAATAAAGTTCCTTGAACTCAGTTTGGAACATATACTTTTTAACGATGGGGTTGGATATCCAATATGGCTTTTTCCAATAAACCATTATTATTTATGGCCGATTCAAGATATATTTATTATATCTTTTTAACTATGAAGTTTAGTTAGTTAAAAATACTAGGAACTTTAATAGAGATGTTTTAAAAACTACTTTAGCAGTTGTGTTAAAATCTTTAATATGATATAGCAAAGTTCCGATCTAATAGACATTCATATTCGTATCTTAATGGGTCTAGATTTCGATTTACAAAATTATAATGTACTTGGTTTTCATTCTTTGTGTTCAGTGTCAACAGATAAATATCTTTATAATATTTAAATACTCGCTAAGTATCCCATGGCATGCCTATTTTTAAAGCTTTAAACCTTTTTAAATCTTATTTGGAATAAATTAATTTAATTTTAAATATGTTTTTCACCATAACAGCCTTTTGTAACACAAATATTTGAATTAATTTTCCAAGAAGTACTTATATCATCAAATTGTTCCTTCAGCATGATGGCTGCACACCAAAGGATATCAGCTTCGGCAACCGAGCGTAGCTTTTGAAGTCCTTTTTACCATAACCAACAGAATCCCCCTCAACTTCGGCCTCCTATCCACAGCAGCGGCCACTGAAACATATTACACGGCTATTTACTTAACCCATTAATTCCACAGTCGAAAAAAATGACGATGCGAGGTGCTGACATGGCAAAGGGCTAACCAAAGGCGGGACAGCATGGACAGGAGGTCCGGGCCAGAACACATGCAGCCGGCGAGTATGCGAAACGTGGCGCGAAGAGCATGCCCAAGTGCTATGTACTTGCATTTGCATTATGTAAACGTGATGGAGCTCAGCCATAAATGCACTTAAAAAAAAAATACTCGTCTTGGAATAATAAAATAAATGGTGAGAATTTTCTCGGAGAATAAAATCGGATTTTGTGAGTCTGATGCACATTTCCCTTTTTCAAAAGTCTATGGAATACGATTTTTTAAGAAAATACACAGTAAGCAAGTTTATTTGGTCAGTGTATGTTACCATTCATCCAACCAAGCAGTTAGTCAGGCAGCCTGCCAAGTAAAGTGGGCATGTGGTTTACATAAGTCTGGGACTGGGACCCGGACTGGAAGCGGGACTGGACCTACACCAACAAAAATGTGTGGTGAAAACGAAAGGAGTGCAAGGAACCCGGCGGCTAATGAAGAGCAACTGCTGTCAGCCGCTTTATGTAACCGTAGACATTCGTGTAATTCAAGCAGGCGACGGCATCCTCGCATCGGTGTGTAATGCGAGATCCAGATGGGAAGGTCTGCCAACATAAACAGCAGACCAACGCTCTAAGCTCTTCCAGCCCGAGGGTCTTGAAGCGCTCGTAGGAGAGCTGGTTGGATTCTGGCTAAAATAACATCTGCTTACACAGAAAATAGGGTAATTAAAAACAGAGCAAAGATTCACAAAGGATGGCTAAATCTGGGGTCGAACTCATGGAAACAAATAGATCCTTTAAAGAGAAGAAAACTTAATTTATACCCCTCTTGCTTGGTATCTTTTCAAAATATTAGTAAAATCGGCTAGGGTCCGAAGGGAATATTACTTTTAATATTTCAAAAAATATGTATGTATATGTCTTAAAGCTAATTCTTTTTAAAGATTTTACCGGAAATTTCTTAAAGCCCTATAATATTAATGACTGACTTACCAGCTGCATGTTGTGCCATAGGGCTGGACAATGTAGCGTACATTTCTGGACTGAAAGTCCGATAGGAGTCTCGGGCCAAGTTGTGTGAAACTGCAAATAAAAATAGGAAATTGCTTAAATGAATAACTTAATAAGAACTAAATAAAATATATGTACAAAGAAAACCTAAATTTAAATGAAAAAAATCAAATAAAATTTGTTTTATCTTGCATAAAGACTATGGTTCTAGTTTAAAACAGCAAACTTCCAGATATTCTACCATGAAATTTGTTTTATCTTACAAATCACTTCCTTAATAACAATATCGAAAATATTTGGGTTTTCCCCTTTTCATTTTTGTTTCGGTTATAAAAATTTAACAACGGATGATAAGTTAGCTGTGAGTCCCACCGATTTCCGATAAGAGGTCTTTATCTCACTCAACTAACCAGTATATGTACACAGAAAGTGGGATCCATGCAATTCAGTTCTTAGAAAGCTATTCAACCTAAAGGCACGTACAGCTCCACATAGATGGCTGAGAACATTAAATTCGAGGAATTGCAGTTGAGTCAGCAGGTACAGTGTTAGCCTATAATTTTGGCAAGGACCTCTCACCACCGATCTCCTATCCCACACAGAAAGTGGGAGTTGGATCCAGTGGGTATGTGCTTCAGGCCAATTGGCGTGACCAAGAGATCGCGGTGAAGGTGTACGATCTACTATATCAGAAGCATAGGCAAACCGCAGAGAGGGAAATTGCTCAGTTGTCCCAAATCGATCACGAGAACATTGTCAAGGTGTACGGTTCGGCCAATGATGGTGGATATGGCTACCTGGTCATGGAGTACTTGGAGGAGGGTTCGCTCCACAACTTTTTGCACGGCGATGACCAGAGGGAGTACACCATGGAGGAGGCCGTGTCCTGGGCCCGGCAATGTGCGGAGGTAAGATATTTGAATAAATATGAAATGAATAATTAAACATCTCTAATAATCCCTTAAAAACATCCTTATTTTTGTTAATCCGAACAATTTAGTACACTTACCTTATGGAAAATAACCCAGAAATTCTAGCATTACGGTATGAAATATCATTATGGTGGCTTATAGCTTCAAGTTCTTTGTTTTCTTATAGGCTATGACGTACTTGCATTCCATGCAGCCAAACCCGGTGATGCATCGCGATATCAAACCGCAAAATATACTGTTTGCGGAGACGTTAAGCCGCCTGAAGATTTGCGATTTTGGCTCAGCAACGGACGTGGCAACTTATCTCTCAAATATGAAGGGCACTCCAGCCTATATGGCTCCAGAGGTGGGTGGAGTAGCTGGGCCTTGTTTTACTTATTTTTCTGTAAATAACCTGATCCCAAGCACAGGTTATCCAAGACGAGAAGTACACGACTAAGTGCGATATCTACAGCTTCGGAATCATGTTGTGGGAGATGATGTCACGACAGGTGCCTTATAGCCACTTGGAAAACCCCGATAACGGATGGGCCGTTCTGGAAGCCGTTAAAAAGGGTAGGTCTATCTATATTTCGATGTGTATATATCTGTTATATATATCCTTCTCCTAAGGTGCACGCCCTCTCCTGGATGCAGTGAGAGGCGATTGCTGGGAGGGCATCAGGAAATTGATAGTCCGTTGCTGGGATCCTGATCCCGTTCGCCGGCCCACAGCGGAGCAGATCGCGGAATATCTGGGCAGCCTGGGTGGAGACTTTAACTATGAGGACTTCATTCTGCACCTGGGCGATGACATCTTGGCCACGGTCACCTTCCCCAAGGACCCGCGTGGCATTCGGCGCATCATGCGCCTTGAATTTTGGCGCAGGCAGGAACGATCGATACGTTTGACAATTCCGATCCTGGAGCGGGAAACGGTGCGAGTGGGTCGTGTTGTGGGTCGTGAGGCAGCCAGGGTGGCCGAAGATGTGGGCAGGGAGATTCCCAGGGCGGCCAAGGATGGGGAACGGGAATTCCGGCGAGCGGAGAAGGATGCGGAAAGGGAAACCTCAAGGGCGGCGAAGGATACGGAGCGCGAAGTGCGGCGAGCGGAGAAGGATACGGAGAGGGAAACCTCAAGGGCGGCGAAGGATACGGAGCGCGAAGTCAGGCGAGCGGAGAAGGATATGGAGAGGGAAATCTCAAGGGCTGCCGAAGATGTGGGACGTGAGGTGTCCCGCGCTGCCAAGGATGCCGGTCGGGAGATCAAGCAAGCCGGGAAGCATGTGGAAGGAGCGGTCAGAAAGCTGAAGAAGAAGCTGCGCTTCTGAGACCAAAATATGATTATTAATTCGTTATGGTAATGTGTGCGGGAATGATTAATAAAAAGCCGACTGCATGCAGAGAGTCCTTTTTTAGCAACCCTTTCAGCAGGACGAGGCGAGTGCAAACTGCAAGGGGTAGGCCTATGGAAAGCTTAGACTGCATTAAGCACGAAGGATATGGACAAGGAGCAGGGAGAAAGGAGAGGGGCTGCAGAGAAGGATGTGAACAACAAGGATGACGGGGCTATGAGGACTATGACGGCGGACATGACAGCGAGCAAGCGAGCGGCGGCGCGGGGCGGAGTACAGTTTGTACCAAGCGGTGCATTGCTGCTCCTGGCACAGCGCGACTCCTTGGCGTTTTTTGCATTGTTCCTCTCTTTTTTCCAGACAAGCTGCACACGGCCATGTGGCTTGTGGCTGTGAGTGTGCATGCGTGTGACCGGAAACTGCCATTTAAAGTGCATTTTGGAGAGTCGCTCAGTCAGAAGAGAGACGGAGCGAGCGCTTCACTTGTGTGCTAAGTGAAAGGAAGAAGGACTCTGTCGTCTCCCCAAACGTTTTTCCCCCGTTCGCTTTGTTTTGCTTTTGCATGCAGAGGCATCTCCCTTTGTGCGGGGTCCTCCGGCAACGCCAAGGAGCCTCCCTTCTGCGACACCGACACGTGTAATCCAACTCCTTTTAATTACATTCAATACCCCCGGTCCCCCGTCCCGTCCGTCTGCGCCAAGGTGTTGGCAGGCCGTTCATATTTTATTTTCTCGCCGGGCTGCTCCTTCCTTCCCTCCATCTTTAACCTTCTGTCCAAATATCGATTTTCAGGTGCAGGATCCCGAGTCTTGGCCGCAGCCAGCAGCCTTTGTAAGCTCAACGAGGTGTTAAAACATTTTGTAAGGGATTGAGAGCTTGAGACACAGAATGCCGCGCACTCAAGTGTCACTAATCTCGATCGGGGGATCATATTTGCGGGCCCTGCACTTGGCTTCATCCAAGAACTGCAGTTCGCCGCTGCAGAAAGCTGACACTAGTGCAACTGATAAATGTGCATCGGAGGAGATTCTGGAGAGCACTCTTTCCCCTCCATTAATGATGTTAAGTAACTAAGATTACCAAAGAACGCATTAAGCCCTCTTATACCTTATATGGCCTGGCCTAGAGATGCTTGTAATACCCCACCTTTGGGCCTAAAGATCTTGTCGGAAGTATAGCTTATGTTTATGCCTTCATCAGCGAGCCAGATCAAAGCATGCATGCATACCTATTCATTATCCCATCCATTAAATTGCCTTGAGCCCGCCTACCGCCCTGCATCCCGCCCACATTAGATCCGTGGACAAAAACAATGGGAACTTTAAACGTTTACGCTTGGCTCGCTCTCGAGAATCGTTCCGGGCTCCCTGCTTGAGCCATTTGCCACCAGACAGGCCGGGTCGGGACAGGCCAACCAGCGTTTTCAGAGGAATAGGTCAGTACGGCCGAGTGAGTGTTTTCGAGTGCAGGCGAGTGTGCCGAGCAACGTGTGTGTGTGCGAGTGGTGTGCATTCTAAGTTTCAAGTGTACGTGTTGTAATCATTTGCGAGGTAAAACAAAGGCGGAATGGGAACGCGACTGGCAGCACATGCTGCTACCAGGAATAAGTGGCGCAGGACTCGCTTGTACATTATGTATAATGAGACCGCTCAGCCCTACATCCCTTCCCGCAATGCCGCGATGCAGTTGGCCTCACACACCGTAGCGGGGTCAATGACAGCTCAGAAGGTCAAACACGAGGAAAAACAACAACAGAAGTTCGATAAATAGTTGTTTTTACTAAAGAAAACCGCAGAGAACAAAGGATTCACAAAGAAATATATATCTTAGATCGTTCAGAGATATGTATAAAGTTATGGTTCTAACCAGCCAGCAATATTTTATAGAAAACGCGTGAATGGAGCCGGATATTGCTGATGAACGACTTTGATTCACACGCAGCGCGGAGGTCAAAGTTTCGAGCGGGGCCCGGTGATTAATGTCCCCCAAACTCCGGCACAGCTGCTGCATAAAGTATCTCCTAGATAAATCTCAAGCCAACCCCTCCAGTGCTCCTCTCCCCTTCTGGGGCAGCTGACGAAACGTACGCTCGACTTCCGCTGCAAGTTGTGCCTTTTCGCCATGCTGTACTCAGGATTCCGAATCCGAATCCGAATCCGATTCAGCTAAAGCTGAAGCTGACCAGAGAGTAGGAAATCTTTTGTAATCGTGCGATAACCCCGACGAGTGCAGAACTTGAAACTCAACCCTTAAGCGGGGCCTGGAACAATGCCAGCGACTGCAACGCAATTGCATGTCCAGCCTAGCAGGATGCCGGGCATCAGGCAGTCGGATCCAGGCAGGTCCTTGCCGGCAATTAGAACACAAGCCCTGGCCGAGCCTTCCACTTTTGTTGTTTATTTACATACATATCGGAATGGCATTATAATGCGAATAATGGCGCAGCGATTGAGCGGCTTCTGCGATGCATTCTGCATCGCCATTGTCCTCGCCAAGGAGCGAGAGCGAGGGAATCCTTTCCTTGTTTTATTTATATTTTTTTCTCTGCCACGCCGTATCTTTTGTGCCGGTCAATATGCCAGTTGGGATGCAATGACCGGACCGGACCGCAGCGACAGCGGACAACGGATGGATTATGGCGACTGGCATGGAACGAGGACCATCCAATCCAAAACGCATAACGAGGCGCAGAAAGGATCGAACCAATTTGCATTGTGCCATGGCAGGGACAGGAAGCCGGATAGGCCAGAGATGAAATTAATACGCATAAATTACATGGCGGATAAGCGATGAGCGGCAGCCATGGGAAAAACTTTTGCCCGGCCATCGATGATGATGATGAAAGCAGGCCGATGTCCAGAGTCCATCCCAGATCCGGGCAGTCCATCTGCCACTGACACCTCAAGCCTCCTGGTGTGATCATCCTTTCGCTGTTCAAGTACTTTATGCCAGGCCCTAATTAAAAGTCTCGGCTTTCAGATCCCAAACATTTTCCAAACAGAACAAACGGCATAAGTTTGTGCATTATGCTAAAGTTTGGGTCTGGCATAAATACCAGACAGACACGGGGAAAAATAAGAGAGTATGAATTAACTTAAAATTCTGTTATTGGTTTTTTTAAAAGCACAATTCATTTATTGTTTAGCTATTATCTAAGAACAGTTTTCTATAAAATATTTAAGTAAATATTTTCTAGTAGCAACACTTTTTCGCCATGTATGGATCTAGGAAAATGTTGCCACTTTGGGCTTTACAGCAGGTAGCTAACGTGAAAACTGTTTGCCAACTGAGGCGCAGGAAGCAGAGTGGATAGAACAGGAAAGAGCCGGCTAGAGCAGCTCAGAAGGGTGCAGGTGCAGGGGCTGGGGCAGGCAGGACACAACGACTGCAATTTTCTGAAAGTTCTGCTCAGGAGCCGAGGCAACGGACCGGGGTCGGCGCTGCTTGTCGGCCATTTCTTTTCCGGTTGTGCTCGGAAACTTTTGCTATTGTCGTAGGTCCTCGAAACGGGAGCAGGACAAGTCAAAGGACCGGCAGTCGAACAGCCGTCTGGCTAGGCGGCCACTTGCCTTGCTGCTGCTGCTGCTGCTAGCCCAGGGAACCTGCCGTAGGACTCTGTCGACACACACGCCATATGCGCAGAAGGACAACAATTGAATTACAAAATTATTTGCTGCTGTCGTCGTCGTTGCCGTCCTTCGTCCTCCGACTGACAGAACTAGTTGTAGTCAGACGTTGGCCTCGCAGGACAGCCCCAGACAGGATCGGAATGGTAAAGAGACGAAGACGGGAACGGCATAGGGGTCGGGTCCTCAAGTGGCTCTTGGCCGGGGCAGAGGACATGTTTTCTAAAACGGAAATTAGGTGACAGGACGAGGCGAACAAGCGAGCCTCGAGCGGGCTTCAGGTTCTTGTCGACATCGTCTTGGGTCAACTTTAATTGCCGCTTTGTACGAAACTGCACTTGAAGAAAATCAGAGATTTCTTTAAAGGAAATAGATAGCCAGTAAGTTTGTCCTATTTTATTTCATAAATAAGTATTTCTCTAAATAAGGCTGATATAGTAAATAATACATTTATTGTGCTGTAATTTATCTTGTTTTTAAAAACAGTTTTTTTCAGAAAATTGTAAAGAAAAGTCTTTAGAATCAAAGTTTAAATTTGGAACCAAATTTTTATATGAATTATCAATACCAACAATTTTAAAAAAGCAGAGTTCAAAAACAGTAAAGTAATCTTACTTATAAAAACGAAACTCCTTGGCCGATGATTCTTACAGTTTCTTAATACCAATTGTTTATAAATATATAAATATATATTTTTAATGTCGAATCCATGTCTGATAAAGTCTCTACAGAGGACAAGTGTGGAATGATTTGAAGGCATTGCTCGAAGGCTCAAGGAACGCGTATCTACGGCAAACACAATGGCAATTAGCGCATCTCGGGTTGCCCGATAACACTTGGGGGCTTTAGAAAATGCGGAGAGAGTTGCCAGAGCAGTGCTTGTATCTGTGGCTGTATCTGTATCCGTAGATGTATCTGTATCTGCGAGTGGGCCGCATTTGGTATCTCTCAGACTGTCTGGCTGAGCGAGCGAGCGGGAGTCGCGTGTGTGCAATGCTGCAAAAATGTTCAAATTCGTTGCTCTTAGCATTTTATTTGTTGCTTTTTGTGTGCTTTTTTATTTAGTATTGCTCTTCTTTTTTTTTTTTGTTTCGTTTGTTGTATTTGTATTTTGCGATTTTTGCTTTTTGGCTGGGTTATCGTCTGGCAACGGCAATCATAACAGGGGGCTGGCCCTGGTGCAGGCGGGGAGTGGGCGTGGGCCCCGACCAGAGCGAAATGCTCGTACAAAATGATGCAGAAAGCGAGAGGTGCGGCGTGGCCGAGGATGACGAAAACTGAAACGAGCCAAACGCACGAAGACTCTGCTGCCGCTGTTGCTGCTGCATGAGGACTCATGCGAGGATGAGGAGGTGCACAAAGCCGAGGGGCAGGAGCAGGCAAACAGTCAGCCAGTCAGCCAGCCAACAGGCAGCAGCAGCAACGTCGACGACTTTGTGGATTTTGATTCTGGGTCATTCACCCTTGACAAAAAACATTTCTGCGCTGTGTTAGGCCGCTTTTGTATGCGGTGGTGCTCGCCCTGCCTGGCGATTGGATCGGATTGGGTTGGATGGGATTGCTGACGTACAGGCACATCCACATTTGGACTCCACACTCTCCACTTCATTTCGCTTTTCTGCCCAAAATGCGATCGCTTTGGATCGCATTCGAGGGCGGCTGCTTTGCATATGTCCACGTCTGTGCCCAGCTCCATGTCCGTTTGTCCGTTGGTCCACTGTCCGTCGTCTGCTGTCCGCTGTCCGCTGCTCTTGTCATTGTCCGGCATTGTCTACGCTCGCTTTTGTTTTATTATATTTACGCCCAGCCATTTATGTTTGATTTTGTTTAAATTGCTGTCCGTTGTCTGGCATTCTAAGATGTTTTATTTCACGTTGGTTCTGTATTTATCTCGCTGCGCTTTTTGTTTCGCTGGGTTTTTGAACCCTCGCCTTGGACTTAGAAAGCTATTTTTGCGCAAAATGGAGACCGTTTTGGCTCTGGGCCTGATAAATATTATCACAAGTTAGCCCCCAGCAGCTATTTTTCTGTGATTTTATGAATTAAAAGTAACAAAATAATATATATGCAATTTCTTATCATTAAATCCTTGAGTTTATAGGGAAGTTTTGCAAAAAGAAAGCTTAAAATTCAAGTTGTGATTTATTTAAAAAATAATATTTTTATCAAGAGCTTTTCTTATTGAAATAAATATCTTGAAATAGCTATATTATAATTAAAATTTTCTTATTGAAATAAATATCTTGAAATAGCTATATTATAATTAAAATTTAATAATTATCAGTTTTAAATAGTTGAAATATTATTTCAAAAATAGCGAAATCTCTAGAAACATTAATAAGGTATGTAAATATTAAAAAAAAAAACAGTACATTCTCTTCTCAATACAGTTGTTACTGGTAACTGCCATTTTCGGGGGACGAGGGACTTTTATAATTTTACATCAGTTGCTGTGAAACTTTCAAATATCCTAAACTCGTTCAATCCCGAATTGCGAAACTTTTAATGCCCTGGCACATGGCCGAATTAAAACGTTATCTGCCATGCAACGTTGCCAAATCTCCTGGCGGGTCCTACCCACTATATCCAATAATCCTGCTCCCCGGCCCCCAGGAAAACTATCTCCCCCCGGCAGTAGTTGGCACAAAGCAATTGCCATGGTCATTTAGGACGGCAACGAAAGCAGCAAAAACAGCAACAATAACGGAATTTACACAACAATCAATTACAGTAGCCGGTGCTAACGAAAACAAAAAGCGAATGGGCCATCTAAAACAAAACCCAAGAGAGCTGCGAAAAGAGGCCAGAATAAAGTAAATGCACAGAGAAAAATTAAGTACATATAACTTAAAAATGTACATACTACTTTTAACTACAAATTTGACTTGGGCTATTCAAATACTTATGTATAAAACTTTAAATTAGGAGCTAAAAAATAGATATATGTATAAAGTTTTTTCGAAAGGTATGTTAAGATTTGGTACACTTTTTATATATTATTTTTTATGAAATAAAATTGCTTATAAATTGATTGCGACATTTAGTATTTAATAACTTAAATTTTAAATACATCGTAATATTTTGTTTTAAATATTTATATTGCATTACTTTGATTTTTAAAATGTGAATTTATTTATATACATTATTGTTCAAGAATTTATAAATTATTCTCTGTGCAGTCCCAGTGATTCCCACGTGGAAAATAAAACAGTGCGAGAGGCGCGTAGATTTATCTGCATTATGCCACACCGATGCAGATACGGATACAAACACAGACACAGACACAGATACAGATACTGATGCAGATGCAAGAGCTCAGACAAACACAGACGGACACCCACATCCACACGCGTACGGAAATGTCAGTCGCCAAACTGGAAATTATGTTTGTGCCGAATTTTAGTTTGTAGGAGCCAGGAGCCGCCGGAGGATCCCAGGGCAATCCAACTGGCAAAAAACATGCCCCCGCACCGGTCTCCCTGCCCCCTCGCTGCCCACTCACCTGGCCGGGAAGAAAACAAAGGCAAAACAGAAACGACAGGTGTAATAAATAACCAAGGCGAAATGGCCAGGACGTGGACGCTGCAATGTAATGGAAAGTGGTGCATCGAGGGCACCAGGAGGGCAGGGGTTACATCTCTCGTCCACTAATTCGTGTCATTTAGCGCAGGTGGCGACAGAGGAAGAGCAACGAGGGACAGGAAGCGACAGCGAAGCAGGAGCGCAGGAGCAGGGTGACCACAACAGATTGACGCTGGACGATAGCGCCAGGAAATGGCCATTGCTCCAGGGACGAAAGCCACAAGCTGTGACCACAGCCGCAAAGTTGCCAAAATAGCTGCTCTGGGTGCTGACCCGAATCCGGATTAATTCAATCCCTATCACAGGAGCGGCTTCAATAATGCTGGTGGGGTGTTGTGTGTCGCCTAAAAGGGTCACAGAGCAGGGTAGCAGGAAAGGGGACATACAAACTAATAACCAATAATAATATTATTTAACTAAATAAAAATGGGTCCCAAGAACAATATTTAATAGTCCAATATTTTTTTGTGTCAGTTTTCAGATATAGTTTATACTATCTTAATTTTAAAAATTTACTTTATTATTGTCAATAAACAAAAATTGATAAAAATATATGTGTATTTTTAAATTATATTATTTAAATATAAGAAAATGCCCTTTTACCAAATCCCACATACGCCGCTCAACGTTACCATCTGAATTCGATTTCCCGTTTACCACGTGGAAAGCCGGGCAGATTTGCAATATTGAATTAATGAACCATGTGCAAGCCGTTACAGCCCACTAGGACACATATTGAATAAACTTGAAACGAATTGTTTTAGCCTCGTAACCTGTGCTCAAAAAGGGTCAGATTTAAAGAGCAATGCTTTACAATACGTTGGCAAAGTGCCAAGTGTCCCCAACTGGCACATGTGGCTTGATTTAACGGCATCTAAATAAATATTTAGATTTTTGTTAAAATTTAAACTCATTTCGGTCCCGCCAGTTCGATAGCAAAATCCGATAACCGATAAGTCGCTAGCCAACACCAATTTGGTCGCCTTACAATACTGTTTGTTTCGAGATATCAACAGAAATGAGGAAAAATATTTTTAAAAATTATTATATTATTTAAAAATGCTTCTAAGCCAACGAAAAGCAACAAATTTCTTTCCAAATTCTTTGCCCAAATATTATAAATATAGTTCTGTTACAAATAATTTTAGGCTACATTGTTAAATTATTATTTGACTTCTCCTGCATCAGGATTAGCATCTCTTTCTGCGGTTATAATTAAAACATTTTATTTTCTAAGAAATCGATTTAAACAGTTTTAACAGGTGATTGTTTTTGTTTAGCCCAGTTTTCAACCCACTCATCCAAGCCATGCACCATATTTATATATGAAAGAGCTGGAAAAAATCGATTCTCACTGAACCGATTATTTTCGATATTTTCAGAAAAAAATCGATTAAATCTAAAAAAAGGTACACTTTTCTTTTAAATATATATACAATTGCAACAACTTTGAATTACCTGAACAAATGTAAAATCTTTTTGGGATCGAAGAAGTTTACAAAACCGAGATTTGACAAGATGTTTTCAATGCATATCTATAAAAAAAACATAAAAATAAAGTAACAAAAATATGTTTCTCCTTTAAAATTATGAAATTGACTGAATTATTTCATTTTTAAGCCTAGTACTCTGACGAGAAAAAACCGCTGTATAAATTTAGACAGCGGCCAAACTCCATATAAAAAAAACGGTGTCGAAAAAAAAGAAGAAGAACTTTTAGACACGTCGTTTTTTTCGGTACTCTGACGACGAAAATAAAGCCTGCGAAAATTGAATGGCGTTGCCAGATCAAGATAGTAAACAGCTGATATCGCGCTGTCTAAATAATTCATTTGATTTATTTAGACACCCCTAATGGAGGAAAAGTTGAAGGAAAAAGGCGGCATTGATAGGGGCTGACAAGGGGAAGACCATAATATGGAATTTAATCCACAAAGGACATTTTAATGCCATATTTATTAATATTTTAAATATTTTTTTTGAATATTTGTTTACAAACAGCTGTCCTGTGTGACCAAAGAAAATCCTTAAACGCCATAAAAAGTACATTTTCATGGCATTTCAGGACTTTCCTTAATTTTTTTTGGTCACACTAGCTCGGTAGCGAAATAAACAGCGATTCCGCTGTCTAATTTATACAGCGGGCTTTTCTCGTCAGAGTACTAGGCTTTAGGAGAAAACTAAATTTGTTGGGGATATTCCAACTTTTTGAGATTTTTTAGGGGGAGATCCAATTTTTCATCTGGCAACACTGTCTTCATCTGGCAGCACTGTTTTCATCTGGCAACACTGCGAGGGCGTAGTTCCAACAAGTGCAAACACAATTTTCAATTACTAATCTTGGCTTGGCGTGAGACACGCCCTAGAATCTCATTTTATGTTTTGTTTTTAACTTTGTTGAAAGTGTTACTTGTGTTATTTGTGTGCAGACGAACAACATGTTCCCCTCGTCGATTTTGGGGCGCAGCTACCTGCTTTTCATGCTGGTGCTCGCCGTGGGCGTGTTCGCCCAGCACGAGTGGCAGGCGCGGGACGCCTTCGACGAGATCAAGCGCCAGTTCGACAAGGTGAACGCCGACAACTGCCCCATCCAGCACCACTCGGACCTGTTCATGCCCCTGGACGCGGTCTCCCACAAGCCGGACATCAAGGAGGTCAATGTGAACCCGGTGTTCCCCAATCGGACGGCGCTGCTGCATCTGCAGAACATGGCGCTGAGCAGGAGCTTCTTCTGGAGCTACATCCTGCAGTCGCGCTTCATTCGGCCCGCCATCAACGACACCTACGACCCGGGCATGATGTACTACTTCCTCTCCACGGTGGCCGATGTCTCCGCCAACCCGCATATCAACGCCTCGGCCGTGTACTTCTCGCCCAACAGCTCGTACTCCTCCTCGTACCGCGGCTTCTTCAACAAGACCTTCCCGAGGTTCGGGCCCCGCACCTTCCGGCTGGACGACTTCAACGACCCCATCCACCTGCAGAAGATCTCCACGTGGAACACCTTCGATGTGCAGGACCTGGGCGCCCACCACCCCGACTCTATATCGAAGGACTACACGCACGACCTGTACAAGATCAACGAGTGGTACCGCGCCTGGCTGCCGGATAACGTGGAGGGGCGGCACGACACGAAGATCACCTACCAGGTGGAAATTCGCTACGCGAACAACACAAACGAGACGTACACCTTCCATGGACCGCCTGGCTCTGAGGAAAACCAGGGTCCTATCAAGTTCACGCGGCCGTACTTCGACTGTGGGCGATCCAACAAGTGGCTGGTGGCCGCCGTGGTGCCCATTGCGGATATCTACCCCCGCCACACCCAGTTCCGGCACATAGAGTACCCCAAGTAAGCGTAGTTGCTGTAATGGTCATGTCCGCCGTGGTCCTAACCCTCTTAACCCCCAGATACACTGCCGTTTCGGTGCTGGAGATGGACTTTGAACGCATAGACATCAACCAGTGTCCCCTGGGCGAAGGCAATAAGGGACCAAATCACTTCGCGGACACTGCGCGCTGTAAAAAGGAAACAACGGAATGTGAGCCGCTTCAGGGATGGGGCTTCCGACGCGGCGGCTACCAATGTCGCTGTAAGCCGGGCTTCAGGCTGCCGAACGTTGTGCGAAGGCCCTATCTGGGCGAGATCGTGGAGCGGGCCTCGGCGGAGCAGTACTACAACGAGTACGACTGTCTCAGTATTGGCTGTATGTTTCGGAGAGCAAGATTACATTCCTGAGCTACTTATTGACCCTACCTTATTCGTTTAGGGATCCAAAAGCTGCCCATTCAGTGGGAGAAGGCGCCCTATCACATACGGCAGAAGTACATGGACAGGCACCCGGAGTACCAGAACTACACCACCGGCTCGAGGGCTCTCCACGCGGAGCACCTGAACATAGACCAGGCTCTAAAGTTCATACATGGCGTGAACTTCCGCACGTGCAAGAAGTGAGTTTTCTGGGATTTTTAGTTACTCAAATCAATTGTGACCTCGTTGTTGCAGCTTCCATCCGCAGGATCTGATTCTGCGCGGCGATGTCAGCTTCGGCGCCCAGGAGCAGTTCGAGAACGAAGCCAAGATGGCCGTGCGACTGGCCAACTTTATCAGCGCCTTCCTGCAGGTAAGCCGACGGTCCAGATGATGCGTTCCCAGCGCTGCTCGCCTTCACGCTAAATGAAGAGCAATAATTGATAACCCGACACCTATTAAGAGCCTTCGACGGCGGCTCTTGAAAACTTCTCAAGTGTAAATTATAATTTTCCACGCGTAATTCAACTTCCTCGAATTTCCTGCAATGCCAGTTTCTGCTGATGTTTCTGCGTTGCCAGCCGCTTCGGCGTGAATTAAATATTCAGTGTCAAACCATTACCAAATGCTAAATTCATTAGTTTGAGCGCTGAGGACACGAAAAACGGGTTCGCCACAAGGCGTCGTCTTCATTAAAGGCCAGCCGCAGCAGCAGCAAGGGAAATTATGGGGATGAGAGCCTGCCTTCAGCTCGATCTCTGTGTGTTGGCATTGAAATGCTGGGGGAAACAGGGCCCCCAAATTGAAGTTAAAACACAAAACCTTGCTCCCAACTTGAAAACTAAGAGCCAAATTCCTCCGTCTGCTGGCAGGTATCCGATCCCAACGAGGTGTACTCCGGCAAGCGTGTGGCCGACAAGCCACTGACAGAGGACCAAATGATCGGCGAGACCCTGGCCATTGTCCTGGGCGACAGCAAGGTGTGGTCCGCATCGACGCTCTGGGAGCGAAACAAGTTCACCAATCGCACCTACTTCGCACCCTATGCCTACAAGACGGAGCTCAACACGCGCAAGTTCAAGGTGGAGGACCTGGCGCGCATCAACAAAACGCACGAAATCTACACCGAGAAGAAGTACTTCAAGTTCCTCAAGCAGCGTTGGAACACCAACTTTGACGACCTGGAGACCTTCTACATGAAGATCAAGATCCGGCACAACGAGACAGGTGAATACCAGCAGAAGTACGAGCACTACCCCAACTTCTACAGGGCGGCCAACATCAAGCACGGCTACTGGACGCAGCCGCAGTTCGACTGCGACGGATACGTGAAGAAGTGGCTGGTGACCTATGCGGCGCCCTTCTTTGGCTGGGACAGCCTCAAAGTCAAGCTGGAATTCAAGTGAGTACGAGCAGAGGGGATGGATGTGGCCCAGGGGTGGGGTTGATATACTCGTTGGGCCGGTCCGCTGCGTGCCGCCGTCGCGGGCCGCTCAAACCCCTTTTTAGGGCGCAGTCCCACTTCCACTTCTCGGATCCCTATCCCAGTTCCATTCACATGCAAATGCCCCGGATTTGATTGTCTAATTTTGGAGTGTTGACAAGACAGCCTAACTTCTGGCTTGTGGCTCCTGACTCCTGTTGGCATTGTGATGCAAATTCGAGCAATTAAACTGACTTAATTTGTTTGCTCTGTGCAGGGGTGTGGTGGCCGTCTCCATGGACATGCTGCAGCTGGACATTAACCAGTGCCCGGACATGTACTATACGCCGAATGCCTTTAAGGATACGCACAAGTGCGACGAACAGTCATCCTACGTGAGTAAAATTTTTTCAAGTATATTTTTGCTTAGATATTCTGCCCCTTGAGAGCTTAAATTTATAAATTAAATTTATAGCAGGAATCGTAATCACTATAAGTGAAAAAACTTAAAAATTTATGTTTAGTGGTTCTTATTATTGATTTTAAAATATTTTTTTTTGATTTATTTGATCGCTCAAAGAATAATTAATAAAATAACAATTAAAAAAATTGTTACAAAAATATTATAAATAATAAAATATTTTTAGAGTGTTGATAATTATTAAATTATAAAAACTTTATTTTTTAATTATTATTTTTACGCTCAAAATAATAATTATTCTTTGCGCGATCAAAAAAATAAAACTCAAAAAATAATTAATAAATTATTCTAAATAAAAATAATTCCTTTCATTTTTTCGCTTAAAGTAATAATCCCGATTAAATTAATATAAAATTAGAATTATTAATAATTATATTATATGATCCTATGAAAGAAACATTTCTTAAAAATATTAAAAAAAAAAAATAATAAATTATTTATATTTTTATATTTTTTATTATTTCATTTTCAGTGCGTTCCCATCATGGGTCGTGGCTATGAAACCGGCGGCTACAAGTGCGAGTGCCTGCAGGGCTACGAGTATCCCTTCGAGGATCTCATCACCTACTACGACGGCCAGCTCGTGGAGGCCGAGTACCAGAATATAGTGGCCGATAAGGAGACCCGCTACGATATGTTCAAGTGTCGGCTGGCCGGCGCCTCGGGTCTGCAGTCCGCGCTGGGACTGGTGGTGGGCCTAATCGGGCTTACCCTCACCCTGCTGTATAGGTTTAGTTAAGCAGCCGCATGCCAAATAACTAATTCCAACTTCCGTCCAAACGCAACTCACATAAAATCTCTTCACAAAAGATATATACACATAGACGACAACTACAAAGCAAGACAGACACAAAATTGACACCCAAAAACAAAACGAGCTGCCACAGCCAGCCAGGCTCCCTTTGAGCATTGTCATCATTTATCTGCAAGGCGATTAAGTTGTAGACATAATCTATTACAATGAATCTGGTTATTTGTCATTTCTATCAAAGGCGGCAGCAGCAGAAGCAACAGCAGAAGCAAAAGCAGAAGCAAGAGCAGCGGCAGAAAAGCGCAAACAGCCGCGCCTACTCCGCTCAGATTACGGAAACGCTATTGCCATTCTTTTGCTCCTTCGGAGATTCTCTCTAATGTCCGTGAAGTCGCGCAGCTGTGTGTGTGCGTTGCGATCGCAAACCTGTTAACATCGGAACCCAGTTAGGCCCCGTACCTACACCCATCGGGGAGGTCCATCCAGGTCCAAGCTGAAGGTTGTTTGCGTCGCATGTACACCTTTTTTACTGCCAGCCAACGGATGGCACAAAAAATTCAACGCCTGCCGTCGTGTTTTTCTTATATTAAATCGCGTCGATGGTCCGTTTTTTTCGCTTCGTTTTTTGCCTGAATTAAATGTATATGCCGATGATGCTGCCGTTTTTTCCGCTCTTTGTTTTTTGCGCCTTGATTATCATATGCGCTTGAATTTTTATTATCTGTACCCTGAGAACTTTTTGTATGCGCCGCAGGAACCAGTTTGTCAGCCACTTGGTCTCCTCGGCCAGGGCAAAAAAGAAATCTCCAGCTTTTTTCATTAAAAACCAACCATGGCCATAGGTAGAGAGCTGGACAGGGGCACAAAAAATATTTTTCACACATTTTTCATAGTCATTTCAGGGCAGTAGCGGTGGGCAGTAACTGTCTCAGCACTCGGGCAACTCCTCCATTTCCATTTCTATGTCCATTCCGAAGGATGTCTCCGTCTGCCGGAACACGTTCGAGAGCCTGGCTGTGTCCGCTTTTGGTTTTGTTTTTGGGTGTGATGGCAATGTCCCCTTGACATTCCACAATCGATTTGTAGTTGAGTACAAAGCAAGAAGCCATTGTGCCTTATGAAATCGAATTAACTTAGTAATTGCTCGAATAATTGTAAAACCACAGACTTTGACTGTATCGTATCGTCCGTCCAAAAAGTAGTCCCTCTGTATTATGAATCTACCCTAGTGTTAAGCGCCGAAAGAGAGCAATCACATGACTTTACAGAAATAATTCATTCTTTTCTAGCCTAATGAATAGAACCCTAAGTGCCTTGATAATGTAAACGATTCTTTTATATTCTATACACCCAACAAATGACGTTCAAATATATGATTTTGTAGTAAAACAAGCCGACTCACCAAACTTATTCATCTTGCATGTGCTTTTCCAGGTACCAGTTGCTCGTCCAGATATCAATTTCCGTTACGCTTTACAATTTTAACGTATTACGATTGAGTGCTCAAATCAAAAATCAGAATCAATGCTCGAATTTCTCAGATCGTATGAAAGTGCGAAAGTTACCACAATAGTATATGATATTTTAGGGAATAAAAGAAGCAAAAAACAAATGATCGTGGAACTCCGTTTTTAATTAACGCCGCCCGTCGCGTCGATTCGCCGAGCTTCGCAATTTCTCCACCGATTTCGTTATCTTCTATATATGTTCGCGGGTCCTCGACTGCACTGGCTCGATCTCAATTGTGTTCGCCCTGTCGAACCTGTGCAACCGTCTGTCCTATCCGCGAAATATTAAGAGTAATTTCTAATTTGGACTTTGATTTTTAGATCCTTTTAGAATTTAAACAAAATTTTTGGAAGGGGAGGAGATTTAATTTGAACGGTTGATGTTATAATACTGTGAAATTTTCAACCCCAAGCTACAATGACAGCTGTGCTGGCTGACAGGTTAGCCATGGCCAGTTGAGTCTGGTGAGTCTTTTGGTCCTGAAAAGGTTGCAACTTTTATGCAGGATTGGTAAGGATATCCTTTCTAATAGATTAGTGAGAAATGCTACATTTAAAAATATAATTTAATGTATAAATAATAACAAATAAAAAAAAAAAATCAGAAAGAAAAGAGTGCTGAATTCTTTATGGAACGAAGAGTGAACAATTCAGCTACCTGAATCTCTCACCCACCACGGCTGCGTGCCCAAGCTCTTCCCTTTTACACAATGTATTCCACTCAGAATCAAATCACGGCGGGGAGGAGGAACCCATTCTAACGTTAATAAATCGTAAACACAGTTTAGTTTCACATTTTTTCTTTAACTATTTATTTCGTGTTCGGTCTTTTGTGTGATCTAAATACATCGCAGCTATACCTCTGCCTCTCTGTTCGGGGGCGGGTAGGTAAAAGTTTGTAGTGTATGCAGTTGGTTATCAAACATTTTTAAAAACTATCACAAATCAATTATTGGATGTGGCTACACAACTTAGTACATACATATAACAGGCGACAACTCCGATCTGAATGTTGGGCTTCAGATGAGAGGCCGCGTTAATATAACAGTATCAGTATCCTCGTTGATTCATTTCGACTCTACAACACTTCGAATTACAAATTACGAACAACACATAAACATTTAAAAAATACTAATACTTCGCTTTGTTTTTGACTCGGTACACATTCAGTTCACTTTCACAAACAAAAACGTTAACAAAAATCGAATCCACAGTTGAGTTTGGGTTTAGTTTAAATGAAAAACCATTCGGATCTAGTGGCTAGATGAGCTTACAATTTAATGGGTTCCTTTGTGGGGTGAAGTTAAATCTTTAATTGTGATGTCTATCAACTATTTGCCTTAAATATGTTGGATTTCTTTTTCGTTTCCGTCGCTATCGTTATCGTTTCCTTCTTAAGGTGTGCCATTGAGTGAGTCCACTTTAAAATATTTGACTATTATCATTTCCGTAATATTTAATGTATGTATATAATTGCTAAAAACAATTGGCTTCGATTCCTTACACAATTTCGTAATAATTATGAGTATTAAATTATAACCGTATATAGTTAACTTTCGGGGCACTTTTGAGCTCGATTTGCGGGCTCCTTTCTGGGTTTCTTTGTCCTGGAATTGAGACTGAGATTCAAGGCGAGGCATGGGCAACGGGCATGCGGGTCGCGGACTCTGCTGACTGGCGCTGAGGGAGACTCTAGTCCCCGTGCAGGTGTGTATCTGTACTTGCATCTGCATCCGTATCTGTATCTGTATCTGTAACTGGTAGCATTTAAATGTGTTATATTTGAGCAAAATTGTAACTGCATGTGTTCCGATTTAACTTTTACATCAACAACAACGACGACAATAACTATGATATAATGACACACAAACTATGAGCGGATCCGACTTAAATCCTTAAATCTGCCTGATTGTATTCTCTTGCTTAAATGGTTACACGCCTGATATGCCTGAGCAAGGAGTCCCCCCTCAGTCGGTTGGGGCGTAGTACACCACGGTGGACTTCCGGCGGAAGCCCAGGTTGAAGAACGACGTCTCCGACTTCTTTCGCTCGTGCTCATGCTCGTGTTCGTTCCCAAAGTAGGAGAAGAGGCGTCCGGTGGTCCCGCCGGCAGCCACCGCCCGTCCAGCGCCGCCGTGGACACTGTGACTGCTGCTCTGACGATGGATCTTGGTGAGCGAGGTGTGCGAGTGCTGGCGCTGCAGGTGCTGCTGGTGGAGCGAGTGCTGCCGGTGGTGGAACTGCTGCTGGAGGTGCTGCTGTTGGTGGTGTAAAAGTTGTTGGTGATGCTGTGCGTTGGCGCTGCCGTGGCCATGCAGAAACCCAGTGGTGGTCGGCGACAGATCAGTCATCTCACACGGCCAGAGGGTGAACGAAGATGGGACCTTATGTATCCCGTCCGATAGTCGATAATGGTGGGATGCTGACCTGTTGAAGTACCGCTCCGAGGGCCGCGACCCCATCTAGAGTTTGTGTGTGTGGGAGATTTTGTTTTGTTTGGTGGTAAAGATAAGGTGTCACATGTTAGTATCGGCCGGCTCAGCGATCGTCTCAAGGTTCTTCATCTTCTGTGTCAGTTGGCATTAGCTCTGTTTACTCTCTAGGCATTTTGGTTGAACTATTTGCATTTGGCGCTACAAACACTCACATTTACATAGAGTACGCACTTGCACGACTATAAATATCTTGGGCTCTGCACTGCAGGGCATCGGGGTCCGATTGGGGGTCACGTGTCCCTGCAGTGCACAGACTCCATAGCCTAGGCGCTAAGACTTTTTACTGATTTTTTACTGATGTCGTGTGTTGGTTATTTACAAATTCATTGTGTGTGTGTGTTGTGTCTGGAGTGGGTGTCCATGTGGGTGTTGGGGTTAAGCGGGGTGGTTCAAGTTACGGGTGCCACAAAGAGTTACATTAAGCTGTGCTCTCCACAAATTTCATAAGTAGCTCAAAAGTAGTAAAGATACTTTCCAACAACATAGGCAAATCGCAAACATTACAAAGCAACGGAACTTAAAAAGAGTCTTAAGACTTTTCGAAAATTAGGAATTTGGATATGGATAGATAGTGATCCGGTGAGCTGTACAGGGGTGAGTGAGGCTAGTGAGGCTAAGGGTGGATCAAAAACAAATATTGGGGGCTCTCACCGTTAGTTCGTTTTAGTTTCTCAGTCTGAAACTCGAAGGGTTCTAAATGTATTTTATTTGGTACAAAAGAGTTCTTAACAGTCGCATAACAGTAGTAAAAACTTTTTCGTTTCTTGGGGGCGATGCGTGGGCGGGGCAGTGGCCGAGGGCCTAAGCAAAAACAGTCTAGAGCCACACGCTGGCCACCCTGAAGGTTCGTTTTCGGTTCGGGTTCATGCGATATGGGCTCAAACCACATATGAGTTGGTCTTGACCGCGTAATACTTTCGATTGTGTTTGTAATGGGTAGCATAGATATGCTGCGATCTGTGAGGCGAGCAGAATCCAAAAAGAGTCCAGGCAGAAATATAGAGATATATAGAGAGAGAAAGAGGGGAGAGAGAAAAGAACGCATAATTTGAGGGGATGTCAAAGGAAAAGGAGGAAGTTCAGACAAAACAAAGCAAAACAGGAGATGACTTCCGGTCCGGTACTAATTCTACGAGTGGCAACTGTACCTTGCAGCCTCTTACCTATCGATAGCAATGCAATCTGGTTTCGTACTTACCCCGTTCTGACAAGTGGTGCGATTGGGATTTACATTGGCCTGGCTTTGGTTTTTCGGCTTTGTTTTCAAAATCTTTTTACAAAATATACGTTTTCTTGTCGTGTTCTGTTCTTTGTTTTTGTTTTAGCTTTTGTTTTAGTTTTGTTTTGTTTTTGCTTTTGTTTCTGTACAATTAACAATTGACTCGCCGCAAGCCCTTAGCTTATGTGGTGCGTTCGCGTGATGTGCCGCTGCGCATATCTGGTGGACGGGCCCGTGACTATAGCGTCTCGCTTACAAAGCGCTGGCCTACCGCTACATGTTCGATGTGTGTTTGTGGTGATGTACATTCGTTTTTTGCCGTGTATTTTGCAATGTTGGCCAAATCAGGTGTCAAGTGTGTGGAGGTGTGTGGAGAAAGAGAGAGAGAGAACAGTTCGAGAAGAGGAGATAGACCAGAGAGATACATAGATACAGAGATACAGAGAGAGAAAAAGAGAGATAGGCAGGTTGTGGCAGAGGTGAAGAGAAAAACAAGAAGAAAAGAAGCAATAGTACAGATTAGCGGTGTTACTATATACAAATCAGGAGATTCTACCAATAGAGAGCTGCTAAATCTATGATTTCGGAGCATACTCCTTTCGGAGGGTTCGACGGAAGGTCATGATCATAATCATTGCATCTACTCCGGCGGCTCCACTCGCGAATTAGTGATTGGTGGACTTGCTTGGGCTTGGATGAGGTGATGTTGGTGAGAGATTAGCTGGCAGTGGGCTTTGCAGGACCCTCGGATCGACTTACCTTAGCACCAGCGGGCCAAACGAAGGACTACCAACTGACTGACTGACCGAGACTACCCAGTCGTACTTGACTGGGGACCAAAGGCTAAGGCTATCATCTATCTTACTGTTACTCTGGTTAGCTTACGAAATTGATATCGAAATTATAAGTTGGATGCGAGAGTAAAGTAGGAAGGAGTATCGGTTGCAATCCCTCGGAAACCAAACGAAACCAAATCAAACCCGAATTATCAAAAGTCTAGGCAAGAGCCGGGTCTAAGGGTTAAAACGAAATCGAAATCGAATGAAGAAACATACTTCGCTTACAGTTGGATTTGGATAAATATTTAAGTAAGTTTGTTGATTGGTTGTCTCGGTATTGGCTGGGTATTTTTGAGTAAGGTATTCCTATATATCCCTACCCTTCTCTTTCACCTTTCGGGCCAAGTGTTGCTTATGCTTAGGTTGTAAAAAACACATTCAATTCTCAGCTGAGCCTAATCAGGGAACTCACCTCGCATTGTGACCCAGCATTATGATGCTTCTGCAAAAAGACAATTGAGAAATGTCGACACGTATTTTATATATATAGTAGAAGTAGGTACAGTATATAGCATAGAGTAGAGCTTGAAGAATTTAAAGTTAGACAGACAGATCGCACAGAAATAAGGAGTATAACTCAAGAGTAGATCAGTTTGGAAAACGAAAAACGGTCAATTCGAAACGAAAACGAAGAGAAAACGAAGGTCGGTTTAAACATGCCAATCGGTAACAATTTGAATGCATTTTAATGGATATCATCATTATTTAGGATTTAATCGTATTTAAGGGGAGCTTAAGGGGTTTCGTTCATATTCGGTTAGTTGGTTCCCCTCTGGCCGGTTGGACACTAGTCCTGGGACGAAATGATAAGGCATAGGTGATAAAACATAGCTCTCTGGGTCGAGGAGGGGACTGA